GTCCCACGTCGGGCTCCCTACTTGGTGGAAAGCCTGCTTCTCCCTCTCCCACTCCCCCTGCTTGTGTTCCTGCTCCTGCTATCTCTCTGTCAAATAAAATCTTTAAAAAAATATATATATATAGATACTGGACACTTTGGCTAGTTCAAATTGAGTAAGATATTAAAAATTTAAAATGTAAAATATCTCAATTTTATATTATATATTTGAAACAATGTATTAGATATAGATTATATAATTTGAATAAACATCTATTTTTACTTTTGTTAATGCAACTATTAGAAAATTTAAAATTATGTGGCTTGTTCCATATCTGTTGGGCAGTGCTGCTTTAGAAAATGGGATAGTCATGAGTTTTCCATTTATCTTTTATTTTTTTTAAACCCAATGTATTTAATTATCACAAGGGCTCAAACTTAAGGGCTTAATTCAAAAAACAGAAACCGAACAAAAATGACACCACAGCTTAAGCTACAGAGTCCTAGACAGGAATGAAAAAAAGGACAGACCATCTAAAGAAAAAATAAAAAGGCAACATGAGGAGAGAGCCTAGACAGTCCAGGATCTTGGCTGGAGACCTGATTTGAGTAGGTTTCTTATAGATACTTCTTAGAGGCTGTGGGGTTTTTCCAGAGCTTGGCAGCATGTGTGTTCAAAGGGCTATCAATGTTGGATTCTCCTAGCAGGTTCTGGATGGACAGCAGGATGGTCCTGCCATCATACAGGATAGACCACTTGCCCTTCAGGATGCCCAGGCAGATGTTCCCCTGGGTGTCCATGCTGGGGTGGTAGCAGGGTGTGAGGAACTTCATCGTGTGGGTGCATTGTAAGGGTAGCCCCTGGCGAACTCCAGGGAGAGCGTGTACCTCAGGTCTTCATATACCGAGCCAGGTGCACCATTTGAAAAGGTGGTCTGATTCAGGGAAGGCAGAAATTCCTGTGTCACAGACATCATGAAGGTCATCAGCTCCTGCTGTAGCCTCTTGCCCATGGGGCCCTGCACAGCGCCCCCGGTGGACTCGACTCCTTTGTGGGTGGCGGCGGCTGGTGGCAGTTAGGTGCCACTTCTGGGAGGCCATCTGCTGTCTGGTCAGGGAGACGAACTTGGAGAGCACAACTGCAACCAGAATATTCTATTTATCTTATAAAAATGGATGATGGTAGTAAAGCACTAAATATGGATACCTCAGAAGACATTAAGGATTTCATTTTACAGTAAAAAACACCAGAAAGGTTTTATCTAACGGATGACTCACCTTATGATACCTTGCCATGAGTTTACTTTCTTTCAATTTAGTTTAGTTTGTTCATGAGAAGGTATAGAAAATGTTAAATACTGTGTCTTACTGTCTTTTATCTAGTATACTTACGGTGGAAGCAAGTATTTCTTAAAGGAACATGGATATGACCTGAACAGTGCATCATCTTTTTTTCTATCCTAACAGTAAACACTTACAGTAAACACTTATTAGCTGTGTTAATTGGATAAAGTCGTAATTTTCTCATCTGCAAAAAGAGGATAATAAAACCTAGTATACATGTATATTGTATCAAATGAGGTAAGTGAACATATATTGTCATTGCCCCTCAGATACAAACTGAGTGGGATGCTTGTTAGCCATTGTAGGAAAAAGAGAACAAGATCTCCTCTCAGGGTGAGGATGACAAAATATATGTGTTAAACCAATAGGACTTCAAGGCAAGGTGACTCAGATAATTGAATGAGGTACTGGATTTAAATGATGTGAGCGAAGTGAAAAGATTGATTCCACCTGGGCTGTCACATTTGAGCATAGTCTCAATAGACAAGAGCATAGGGGTGGAATGGGTTAGGCAGCCATTTTAGATTTTGGATTGAGGGAAATGTATGAATGAAGATAGGAAAGCTCAAGATACGTATTTGAGGTTCCTTTTGGTTTAAAATATTCATGGCTTTTTGATCTCTTCCAGTTGACTCATGTTGCCTTACTATACCTCAGTGCAGTGTATGAGCCGGGGATTTCCTTGTTGTATAGGGACTGTCCATCTTTGCATACATAGTGGGCAGCCCAGAACCTGGCAAAAAGCAGCTATTCAATAGATAATTGGTGGGTGGATGAATGAGCAAGAATTTTGCAGCATTCAGAAAGCACTGTATCACTTCCTTATTTTTCAGCGAGGATGTGTTTGAATTTCTAGCCCTTTATCACATATTTAACAGATATATTTGTTGATGGTTGTGCGTTGAGATCCCAGGAGCATTGTTTTTATTCTCCCATGGAGATCTGACCTGAAGTCAGGGAGTTTTAATTACTTGCTGTTGCAGAGGGCTTGCACTCTACCTCTCAGTGACCATTACATTCCTGCAGGTTTTCAACACAGCTTGTGGAGCTCCATTCTGTGAAGGATGTAGCTGGCTCCACTCCTTCCAGAAAAAAAAAAATGATACCTTGCCTGCAAACTTTTGGCTGTCTGGAATGGAACATTATTCTGCAGGGGAGGAAGCACAATGAAAAAGGGTCATACCTACAGGAAATCTAATATTTGCTTTGCAGTGAAATGTGAAAAATTGAAAGAAAGGAAGCAGCATAGTAACTAGAAGTCCACTTTGTATGGGATTTCCTTTTTGGGGCTTTTCTCCTGCCCTGTTACATCATCATCATCATCATTATTTTTAAGATTTTATTTATTTGACAGGGGGATGGGAGAGGGAGAAGCAGACTCCCTGCTGAGCAGGGAGCCCATGGGGCTCTATCCCAGGACCCTGGGATCATGACCTGAGCCGAAGGCAGAGGTTTAACGGACTGAGCCACCCAGGCGCCCCTCATCATTATGTTTTAATGTTTTATTTCCTAACTGGTAAGTTGCTTTTATATTAACGGTGTTTGGGATCCACTGTGAACACATTAACAGATTCACTGTTTAAAACAACACAAAACAAAACTGTTTCCTCTACTTCCCATCATTTTTTGAGAAAGGAAATCAGAAAAGCAGTTTACTATGCATATTCCCTTGCCCCTCTACCCACACTATTAATGATTTTTGCAGGTGGACTAATTATACTATTGATTTTGCAGTTAGAATAAGGAATAGGAGCCATTCTTAAAGTACTTTCTTTCCCCCTGTGAATTATACGATTTTTACACTAGCATATTTGCAAAAACTTACTAATCATAAAGTCAAATATATTATGTCCTGCCCAGGAACACAGAGGGTTAAATCAAATATCCACCAGTTAGCACAGCTCACCACAGATGAAAAAGGGAAAGGGTGAGGACAGCAGTTTTTCTTTGTAAGCCTTTATTCTTTGGTACCCGGTTGCCTCTTGTCCTCATCACTAGCTCCTTTCATACACTTCTGAGATTTGATCAGAGTTTTGCTGACCACGCTGGACTTTTTAGCTGTGTAACAGAGAGAGCTCTTCCAATTCAGACACATTCTGATATGGCTTAAAGAGCCATTTAATAAGTAGTAGTTGCACCATTTCCGAACTTTATGAGGCTTATGGATGTGTTAAGGCTTAAGTTCCAGTAGGAATCAGGAATGGTGTGAAACCCAGGGATATAGGGAGAGGGTTGAAAGGGAGGACTGAAGCAAGGGCTGACAACATCTGTGGCAAAATTACTTGACAATAAAAGAGTAAAAAAATTTTTTTCATTTAGCCATTTTGGTATAAGACAGCCATATTAAAATGTTTTTCTTTGGGGGTGCTTGGGTGGCTCAGTCGTTAAGCATCTGCCTTCAGCTCAGGGTCATGGTCCCAGGGTCCTGGGATTGAGCCCCACATCGGGCTCCCTGCTCAGCGGGAAGCCTGCTTTTCCCTCTCCCACTCCCCCTGCTTGTGTTCCTGCTCTCGCTCTTTCTTTCTCTGTCAAAATAAATAAATCTTTAAAAAAAAATTTTCTTTGGGACATATGTACTCAAGAAATGTTTGTTGAACTTAATTTTTTTTTTTTAAAGATTTTATTTATTTGACAGAGAGAGAGATAGCGAGAGCAGGAACACAAGCAGGGGGAGTGGGAGAGGGAGAAGCAGGCTTCCCGCCGAGCAGGGAGCCCGATGTGGGACTCGATCCCAGGACCCTGGGATCATGACCTGAGCCGAAGGCAGACGCTTAACGACTGAGCCACCCAGGCGCCCTGAACTTAATTTTTGAACCAATGATGTGTTTTCAACACTTTCTCCTCCTGTTCTGTAATTTTGTATTTGGGCCCCAGAAATTACCCAAATCATGGTGGACAAACTTAAGAGCTGGCCTGCAGATTTTAGTAAAATGAATCCTATTTTTGAAGGAAAATGAGGTTCAATAAAGACATGAACATGAGTCTCTTTAAAATCTCTATACAACTTTTTATTATTGCAGTTTTTCCTGCTGTTTCTACCTTCATGTGAATTTGACCAAATTGCATTCATCTCTCCACACCTCGGTTCCTTTATTTTGAAAATTAAGGAATTGGTCTTTTAAGGTCTGTTTTAGACTGCTTCATTTTGGTACCTCATTCATTAATCACTTTTCTCAAGCACTATAATGCAAGATAAATAATTTTCCTCATTTTAAAAAAACCAGTTTTCAAAAATAGTCTTCCTATAATTTCATTGTGGTAAACATGTCATGGCCTTGCCTTTGGGAACAGAACTTTTGGTTTTAGCATTGTAAATGGCAGGTAATGTAAGTGTTTAAATCACTTCAAAGTTGGTATGATCTGAACTCAGAATCTTGCTCTTGACAAATACAGGCTTTGTGACCTCAGGCAAATTATTTTCTTAGCCTCAAATTCCTCATCTATAATTTGGAGGTGATAATGTATTTATAAAGTCCTTCTGAGGATTAAATGAGATCATGGCTGTAAATTGTTTAGAATACAGCCTTGCCTATAGGAAGTACTCCGTATATATTACCTGAGGTTAATGATGTAACTTCTTAGATCATAAATTGAGGACTATTTCACTCAAATATTAAACTAATGACCAGAATGTTTCCTGATGGAAACTGGGCTAACCTATTTCTTTCTTTCTTACAGATATTATATTGTACTTTAAACACACCTAAAGTTGATATGGAAAGAGTCTTAGGATCACATGTAGGTCTTGAAGATTTCATATTTGCCCATGTGAAAGGGATCCAAAAAGAAGTGAATGTATATAAATCTGAGGATTCACTTGGTCTCACCATCACAGATAATGGTACTGGCTATGCTTTTATAAAGGTAAGTCTTAAAAAAATAACTATGTGACCTAACTGAGGGTAATAGTTAGGAAAATCTACCAGGTCAAAGAAATCTTCAGAGTGAAAGTTGGCTTAGCAGGGATGGTTTGATAAGGTTTCATTTAAAAAATGTTTCAAAGACCTCATTTTTTGTTTACCCTTTCCTTGAATTTCTTTCCTTCAGTTTAAACTTCCTCTAGAATTTAGAATTTACTGAAAAGAAAAGCCTGGTCCTGGTGCCCACTCATCCATATGAGCTCTTGTAGGTCTGTAGCTCATTAATATCTGATGACTTCCATGTTGATTTCCATTGATTTTCTAGGGTTATTTCCAAGTAAGAGTGTGTGTGTGTGTAATATATATATATGTATTATAAATATAATTTTTAAAGTAATCTCTATGCCCAGTGTGGGGCTCAAACTCACAACTCTGAGATCAAGAGTTGCATGCCCTACCAACTGAGCCAGCCAGGTACCCCAAGTGTACACATTTTTGACAACTTCTTAAATGTTCAACGTTTTCTAAACTATGTAATTCCTTTATTTAGATATAAGAACAATATAGAGCTGCAAAGATGGGAGAAGGAGGCTTGAAATAGTATGAAAAACTAAGAACTGAGGAGTGGTAAAAAGGAAATTAGATTCATCTCTTTCTGTTTTTTAGATTTTATTTATTTTTGAGAGAAAACAAGCAGGGGGAGGGGCAGAGAAGCAGGCTCCCCTCATCTCTTAAATATCTACTGAGCAGGGGTGCCTGGGTGGCTCAGTCGTTAAGTGTCTGCCTTTGGCTCAGGTCATGTTCCCAGGACCGAGCCCTGCATCAGGCTCCCTGCTTGCTAGGAAGCCTGCTTCTCCCTCTCCCACTCCCCCTGCTTGTGTTCCTGCTCTTGCTCTCTCTTTGTCAAATAAATAAAATCTTTAAAAAAAAAAAAATCAAAAATCTATTAAGCAATTGTATAACAGCTGACTTCTATTGAATGATTATGTACTAGGCACTTTACATACTGTTTCTCAGTCCTCACAATTCAATTTGATACTATGTTTTTTCTTGTTGATGTATAACAAATTTTTAATGTATGACTTACTGTACTCATACCTTTGTAACCACCACCGGGCTCAAGGGAGACTTCATTTCTACCACCCAGAATTCTCTTGGAACTCTTCTCAGTCACTCTACTTCCCCCACAAAGGTAGCCACTGTTCTGACCTCTATCACCATAGTTTTGCTTCTTCTTGAACTTCATTAAGTAGAATCATGTACTCTATTGTTTCTGGCTTCTTTTGTTCAATATATCTAGGAGATTCACCTGTGGCAGTATTTTTAACCTCTTTTAAAGATGTAGAAACAGGATCAGGGAGGTTAAGTAGCTTGCTGCAAAGTTACGTAGCTAAAAAATTCAGGATTTGAATTCAAGAGATCTGGCTCCAGAGCTGACATTCCTATCCACTTCACTAAGAATTAGTTATAAATTTCATAAACAGAACATGTTTCATGTTTTTATTTTGTCTAAATCTTTGCTGATACATTGTCATCATTAAAGTCTTAGGGAAGCTATCTTCTTAACTGTAAATAGTACTTTATTTAACTTCCCATTTGATAGAATGGCTATTTTTAGCTCTGCAAAAGATATGACTGTGCTGAAGGTCGAGTGGGTGATCAAATGGAAAATCGTGAGTTGGGAAAGTCATGTGGGATTATCTGGGGGAAGCTCAGGACATGAGGCACAAGCAGCAATGCCTTTCTAATGTCAGCAGGGAAGGGCTTAGAAGTTTTGCAAGCACGTGTGGATTTTTTAGATCTTAACCTCTGATGTTCAGAGCTTGTATTCTTTATTTTTTTAATGCCTCCCTGAACATGTGTCTGCCTCCATACTCATTACTAGTCCTGTGGAGACAACATGATGGCAAAGAGAAAGTGGAGCATAATCCAATTGCTGACGTATAATTCAACTTAGAGAAATGAATAGCCTGTGTACATGGTTAATATGACTTTTTAAAAATTGAGGGGGGTAATTTAAAATTTACTGAAAGATTGTAATAATACAGAGGACTTCCATAATACCCTTTATCTATTTCTCCAATTTTTATCATTTGCCACCTTTGCTGTTTGCTCTCATACACGTATATGTGTATATATACACATAAATACAAATACATACAATTTTTCTGAACTATTTGAAAAAGTGGGTTGTATGTATTATGCCCATTTAGCCCTTACTATTTCAGAATGGAGTTACTAAGCACAGGGTTTTTCTCTATATAACTATAGTACAATTGTGAAATTCAGAAAATCTAGTATTGATAAAACTGCAGTGTGGGGCGCCTGGGTGGCTCAGTCATTAAGCGTCTGCCTTCGGCTCAGGTCATGATCTCCAGGGTCCTGGGATTGAGCCCCACATCAGGCTCCCTGCTCGGCGGGAAGCCTCCTTCTCCCTCTCCCACTCTCTGCTTGTGTTCCCTCTCTCGCTGTCTCTCTCTGTCAAGTAAATCTTTAAACAAACACAAAAACAACCTGCAGGATGGACATTAGTTTAAAATTATTTTATCAGTTGCCAAATATCCTCTTTAAATGTACATATATAAACAAAGTATTCTATTCGGAGGTTACTTGGAATAGGTTCTTTCCTGCCGCTTTCCCCATTACGTGATTATTATTTATTTGAAATACTGTTGAATTTATTTGCTTCTCTTTGAATTGAGTTTCCCCCTCATCCTTGTTTTCATTTTTTCTGAATACATAAAATACTAACATGATTTGAAAGTTAAAACTGTATTAAAAGACCTTCAGAGATCTGTCACTCTTTCCCCTAGCCCTCTAACCCATTACTCATTTCTCCCACTCCTTATAAGTAATCATTTTCATTAATTTTTGGCTCACCATAGGCAGAAAAAAAAAAGAAGAAACATTCCAAGAGCTTGTATGTCATTCTTGTTCAGGGACTGTGTTAATGTTTTTTGTATGGTTCCAATTTTAGTGTATGTGCTGCTGAAGTGAGTACTTGATATCCTTTCAGTAGTGGTTAGAAGTCAGTATATTAGAGTAGGACAGTGTGGTATAGATTCAGACAAAGGTAAAGAGGAAGGATTCCATATTAGGGAGGCAGTGCAGGGTCATGCATGGGAGCATGGGCTTTAGAAGTACAGAGGCCTGGGCGCCTGGGTGGCTCAGATGGTTAAACGTCTGCCTTCGGCTCAGGTCATGATCCCAGGGTCCTGGGATCGAGTCCCTCATTGGGCTCTCTGCTCCTTGGGAGCCTGTTTCTCCCTCTGCTTCTCTCTCTCCCTCGTGAATAAATACATAAAATCTTTAAAAAAAAAAGTACAGAGGCCTGGGGCACCTGGGTGGCTCAGTCGGTTGGGCATCTGATTCTTGATTTTTGACTCAGGTTGTGATCTCAGGGTCCTGGGATTGAGCCCTGTGTTGGGCTCCATGCTTTTTTTTTTTTTTTAATTCATTTGGGGAAAAAAAGCATGAGCAAGCAAGAACACAAGCAGGGGGGAGGGGCAGAGGGAGAGGGAGAAGCAGACTCCCTGCTGAGCAGGGATCCTGATGCAGGGCTTGATCCCAGGACCCCAGGATCCCAGGATCATGACCTGAGCTAAAGGCAGATGCTTAACCCACTGAGCCACCCAGGTGTCCCAGGTTCCATGATTTTGTGTGTGTGTGTGTCTGTGTCTGTTTTTTTTAAAAGGCTCCATGAACAGCTTGGAGCCCAACCCAGGGCTTGAGCTCATGACCCTGAGATCAGGCTTTTGTCAGAATCAAGAGTCCAATGCTCAACTGACTGAGCCACCCAGGTGCCCCCAAAAAGCAGTTTTAATAGGTATTTATCTCTATGAACTTCCCTACCTCAAGAAACAAATCTCAACCTAACTTTATACCTCAAGGAGCTAGAAAAAGAACAAATGAAGCCCAAAGTTAGTAGAAGGAAGTAAAGAACAAAGATTAGAGCAAAAATAAGACTAGGAATATCTGGGGCACCTGGGTGGCTCAGTCGGTTAAGCATCTGACTCTTGATGTTGGTTTAGGTTGTGATCACAGGTTTGTGAGATCGAACCCCATGTGAGGGGGTTGCTGCTTGGGATTCTCTCTCTCCCTCTCCACCCCCACCCCACTCTAAAAGAAAGAGACTAAAAAGACAATAGAGAAGATCAATGAAACTAAGAATTGGTTCTTTGAAAAATAATTGACCTTTAGCTAGATTCACCAAAAAGGACTCCAATAAAACCAGAAGTGAAAGATGTTACACTGGATATCACAGAAATGCAGAGGATCATAGGTATAACTGTTCACAGTAGTTTTCTAACATCTTGGATGACATATAAGAAATGGGTAAATTCCTAGAAACCTACAACCCACCAAGACTGATGATGAAATAAAAAAATTTGAGCTGATGGATTTAATCTCCTTGATAGTAATGAAAAACTTCCCAACAACAAAAGTTTAGGACCAGATGGCTTCACTGGCAAATTCTAGCAAACATTCAAAGAGAAGAATTAATACCAGTCCTTCTCAAATTCTTTCAAAAATTGGAAGTGAACTCTTCCAAACTCATTTTATGAAGTCAACATTACCCTGATACCTAAAACCAGACAAGAGTGCCATGAAAGAGCCGGTATTCATAATAACATAAATGAAAAAGTCCTCAACAAAACATCAGCAGTCATATTCAGCAATACATTAAAGGATCATACCTCATGACCAAGTGGGGTTTATCCCAAGGATGGTTCAACATCCACAAATCAATGTGATAAACCACATTAACAAAATGAAGGATAAAAATTATCTCCGTAGATGCAGAAAAAGCATTTAGTAGAATTCAACATCTGTTTATGGTAAAAACTCTCAACAAAGTGGGTATAGAGGGAACATACTTCAATGTAATAAGGGTCCTATAGGACAAGCCCACAGCTAACATACTTAGAGGGAAAGCTTTCAGCTTTTCACCACTAAGATCAGGAACAAGGCAAGGATGACCATTCTTGGCACTTCTATTTAACACAGTACTGGAAGTTCTAGCCAGAACAATTAGGCAAGAAAAAGAAATAAAAGGTATCCAAGTTGGAGAGGAAGAAGTAAAATGGTCACTGTTTGAAGAGGATATATACAAAAAACTCAAGACTTTATCCAGAAAACTGTTAGAACTAATAAATTCAGTAAAGTTGCAGGATATAAAATTGACAAGCTAAAATCTTATTTCTATATGCTAATGAACTATTAAAAATTGAGGAAACAGTTCCATTTACAGTTGCATCAAAAAGAATAAAGTACCGAGGAATAAATTTAACCAAGGAGAATAGCCTAGTCAAAACTACAAGATGTAATTGTAAGAAATCGAAGACAAATGAAAAGCTATTCCATGCTCATGGATTGGAAGAATTAATACTGTTAAAATGTCCATACTACCCAAAGTAATATTACAGTCAGTGCAATCCCTATCAAAATTCCAATGACACTTTTCATACAAATAGAACAAATAGTCCTAAAATTTATGTGGAACCAACCATAGAAGACCGTGAATAGCCAAGCAAGGTTGAGAAAGAAGAACAAAACTGGAGGCAGCATACTCCCTGATTTCAAAGTATATTACAAAGCTATGGTAATCAAAACTGTGGTATTGGCATAAAAACAAACCTTGATCAGTGGGGCAGAATAGAGAGCCCAGAAATAAACTCCTGCATATATGGCCAATTTATAACAAAGGAGCCAAGAATATACAATGGAGGAGGGGACACTATTTTTTATCTTTATTTAGTTTGAGATATTCTGTTTAATGGTATGGGAAATATGGGATAGCCAGTAATGGGAAAATTGGATAGTCACATGCAAAAGAGTGAAACTGGATTATCTCACACCATACACAAAAATTAACCCAGAATGGATTAAAGACTTGAATTAAAACCTGAAACCACAAAACTAGAAGAAAAACTAGGCAGTAAGCTCTTAGACATAGGTTTTGGTGATTTTTGAACCTGAAAACAAGCAACAGAAGGAAAAATAAAAAGTGGGCTATTTAACTAAAATAGATTAAAAAAAAAGGTGGGTGGAAGATCTGAATAGACATTTCTCCAAAAAAGACCTACAGATGGCTAACAGCTACATGAAAAGATGCTTTATGTCATTAATCATCAGGGAAATGCAAATCAGAACCACAGTGAGATACCACCTTGCACCTGTTAGAATGGCTATTCTCAAAAGGACTAGAAGTAACAAATGTTGGGGCACCTGGGTGGCTCAGATGGTTAAGCATCTGCCTTCGGCTCAGGTCATGATCTCAGGGTCCTGGGATTGAGTCCCGCATCGGGCTCCCGGCTCCTTGGGAGCCTGTTTCTCCCTCTGCCTTTCTCTCTCTCTCTGTCTCTCATGAATAAAAAAAAAAACAAAAAAAACCCAAAAAAACAAATGTTGGTGAGGATGTGGAGAAAAGGGAACGCTCGTGCACTGTTGGTAGGAATGTAAATTGGTGCAACCACTATGGAAAACAATGTGGCGTTTCCTCAAAAAATTAAAAGAGCTACCATACAATTCAGCAGTTCCACTTCGGGGTATTTGAGGAAAATGAAAATGCTAATTCAGAAAGATAAATGAACCAGGGATGCTTGGGTGGCTCAATCGGTTAAGTGTCCAGCTCAGGTCATGATCTCGGGGGTGGGACAGAGCCCCACATCTGTCTCTGTGCTTCGTGCAGAGTCTGCTTGTCCCTCCCCCTCTGCTCCTCCCTCTGTGCACGCTCTCTCTAAAATCATAAAGACAAATGCACCATGCATTTGTGTATGGTGTTCATTGCAGCATTATTTACAACAGTCAAGATGTGGAAGCAACCTAGGTGCCTATCCACTGATGCATGGATAAAGACGTGTACACACACACACACACACACACACACAGGAATATTAGCTGTATAACAGAATGAAATCTTCCCATTTGTGGCAATATGGATGGACCTCAAGGGTATTATGCTAAGTGAAATGTCAGAGAAATCCCTCTACTATATAATCTATTTTCTATGTAGAATCTAATACATATGTGATTAAAAAAAATTGAATTAAAAGACAGTACTGCATGGTTCTTACAGATAAAACTTTTCAGGTGAAAAGACAACAGACTAAAACATTTGTGATTTTAGATTTTACAAGTCTCAATTTCCCAGAACCAGAGTATATAAATAACCTAATCAGAAAATTCAGAGTGTATACTTTTAACAAAACCGGAAATTCCTAGAGTGTTTCAAGATGAGTTGTCAAACATTTACATAAAGGGACAGATGGTAAATATTTTAGGCCTTGTAATTCAGAGTCATGTAGTCTCTTGGACCACCTCTGTTTGAATCCCCATTCTATTGTTGTGTTCTTTTGATCAAGCCATGTAATCACTGTACCTTGATACTCTCCTCTGTTAATGGAATGAGGCTTGCTTTGAAGGCTAAGTGAATTAACTATTTACAGTTGTTAATAACTGTTACTTTATTATGAATGAGTTTTGAGGACAGTATTGGGAGGATCAGCACAAATCTCAGAGTTGCTGACCATGGCAGTAGGGCACGCAGCTCAAACAACCTTGAATCTGATGCCTAAGCTGTGAGGAGGGTGCAATGCTGCCCTCGAGTTCTGCTGATATCTGTGATGAGCAGAGTTCTGTAAGTATATGCAGTGAAATAATGGAAAATACTATAATGTCTGAAATGATTGGGAACCTCTGAGTTTAATAATGTGAATCCCATCTTTTGAAAAATATTTGTCTTCTCTGCATTTTGCAGTATCAAGCTCTAAAGCCAGATGAAACAAAGTTCTAAGTGTCACAGAGAATGATACTCAGTAAATATAAGCATAGAACTAATACTTTTTTATTTTCCAATTCCTTGTGTTTGAATAGCACTTTTAGCAATATTATTAATCTCTATCATGTTATGATTATCAAAGAATAGATTCCAGAAACTTGTCTCAATTGCTACCTCATTCTTTATGACTTAAGAGGCTACAGCTTATGTAATCCATAACATATATAATCAGTGTCTTCTATTTTGCTTCTCTATCTTTTTTTTTTTTTTTTTTTAAGATTTTACTTATTTATGTAAGAGAGACTGCATGCGTGGGAGAGAGAGGGGGAGAGAATCTGAGGCAGACTCTGCTCTGAGCGCAGAGCCCAATGTGTGGGGCTCGATCCCACAACCCTGAGATCATGACCTGAGCCAAAACCAAGAGTCAGACATTTAACCAACTGAGCCACCCAGGCATGCCCTTTGCTTCTGAATTTGATTCCCCTCATGGTGTTCTTCAGGTTTCTTACACTGATTTTCCCATCTCTTCATCCCAGATCCTTATCTGCTAACTCTGATGATTACCCATGCTTTGACTTTTTTCTTGCCCACCTGGATTCTTGCCTTGCTACTTGCTCTGACTTCTGGTAACTGCCTTTCTTCCTTCGGTCTGGACACTCTTCTAGTGATGTCTGTGGCTACTCACAGGTCCAGGACAACCTAGATTTTTGTTACTCTGACCTTTAATTTACTGGTAAGATTTATATGTGTCTGTAAAGTTTTCCGTTTTTCAGAAAAGTTTTATTTATTTAATCTCTACACTCCACATAGGAGCTCAAACTCATGACTCTGAGATCAAGAGTTGCATACTCTTCTGACTGAGCCAGCCATGTGCCCTGTAAATTTTCATTTGATTAATTTTATATACTGCATATTTTTAATCAATTGTGACAAGTCTTAAAAATATGTGGTGGAACACTGAAATTTATATGGTGTCATTGATCAAAGGAAAAAAAATAGGTTCAGAAGGTATTAAGAGATAAATTAGAATAAAAAGGAAGTGAAAGTTACATAGATTTTCACATTCTCTAATGGCTTAAGAATGGGTAGATGACAGGATATTTAGTAGTTTTTTTTCTTTATACTCTAGTTTTCTTTTTTCTTTTTATTTTTTTTAAAGATTTTATTTATTTGATAGCACAAACGGGGGGAGAGGGGCAGAGGAAGCAGGCTCCCCGATGGGCAGGGAGCTCGACATGGGGCTCGATCCTGAGCCGAAGGCAGACACTTAACTGACTGAGCCACTCAGGTGCCCCTGTAGTTTTCTTTTAAATCTTATTTTTCTGTGACCCTTTAGAAACTCCAGTTGCACTTAGTGGTGTGTTGTAGTAACTCTTAATTCTGTTAACTTATAATGCTAATACTGACTCCTAATAATAAAACAATACCAGTCGGATGATGAAATTTCTCATTTTTTTAATATTTCACTTTTTGTAATGATAGTGAGCTCTGAATTGGCATTATTTCTCTTGCATGAAGCATATTAATAGTTACTATTATAATGAAAATAGGAATGTTCTTAAAAGTGGGTAAAAAAGAAACCTATTGTGAGTTTTGGTATATAGTAATAAAACTTAAAACTTAAAAAAGTCCAACCTTCCCAGAATAGTCTTGTATGATTCTCTTTTTTCTGTTGATATTATGGAGATGCTGGGGTACATGAGATCAGTTTTCCTCTTAACTCTTAGATGAAGTGGTTACCCTGCTGATTCAGAAGGTGTTATTTTTCCACCTGGTAAGAGTGGGGAATGCACATTTTTTTTTTTTTAAGATTTTATTTATTTGACAGAGACACAGTGAGAGAAGGAACACAAGCAGGACGAGTGGGAGAGGGAGAAGGAGGTTTCCCATGGAGCAGGGAGCCCGATGTGGGGCTAGATCCCAGGACCCCGGGATCATGACCTGAGCCGATCCCAGCACCCCGGGATCATGACCTGAGCCGAAGGCAGACGCTTAATGACTGAGCCACCCAGGCACCCCCACATGCTTTTATTATATATCTAGTAGCCTCTAATATTTCTATCCTACCCACCCCCATGAAGGATGTGTGACTCCTGAGGCAGACTGTGGATTTTCTTTTGCCCTGTTCCTCACTACTGTGGAAGAATTAACTTTGCAGGGCTGTTACCTGTGCAGTTTTTTCCTGGGCCTCTGATCCCTAAAATCCTTCCCTAAAATCTTTGTACTATCTTAGGGAGTCTTAGGTCTCCTTTTGAGATTCTGCACTATAGATTTATTGTATAGAAGTAAAATAGATTTAAGAAAGACCAATTTGAAGTTTTCCTGAGTCCTAAGTTCTCCTGACCTAAAAGGTGTAAGTGAAAAATGATAGTATAGTATCACTCCTACTGGCTACCTAAATGGTAACCACACCTGTGTGTTATTAGTTAATCAATGTTCTTAGCTGAGGTTGTATTAATTCTTGAATCATTACATTTGTAACTAAGGTTTAAAAAAATGTAGCCAGTAAAAAAAAAAAAAAAACAACTTAAGCTCTATTCTCATGTAATGGGTTTCATTTTGAAATGATTCATCAACCATTTTCGGAGGGACTTTGTGCTAGACACAGAGCATGTAGTGGTGAATAACACCATCTCTGTCTCCAAGGATATTACGGTTCAATAATGGAAATTGAGAAGTAAATGAACAATTGCTCGATAGTATGCTGAACTGGCAAATTACTAGATTTTCCCAAGCTTCAGTTTTTCTCATCTATGACGTGAGACTCTCATAAAGGTTGTTAAAATTAAATGAGATGGCAAATGTAAAGTGCTCAGCTTAGAGCTCAGAATATGTAGCAAAACCTACTAGAGAAGCATGAGAGTGACACCCTGACCATTCTTGGGGGAGTACCCCAGGGGATGTCAGAAGTTTCTCAGAGAAGGTGTGATGATTGATGGAGCATAATTCTAAATGAGGTAAGATGGTTGTCCTTTGTTGCTTGGTCTTTCATCTTTAACTGAGCCTTAAGTTGCATTGTTAGTATGTCAATGTATTATATATAATGTCCCAGGAGCATGAAAAGTAATGTTATGCAGTTCCATTTTGTATTATGTGTTATCCTTAATTTTCTTTCTTTCAGAGAATTAAAGATGGTAGCCTAATTGACTCAGTTAAAACCGTCTGTGTGGGGGATCATATTGAATCTGTAAATGGAGAAAATATCGTTGGGTGGCGTCACTATGATGTTGCAAAAAAATTAAAGGAAATAAAAAGAGATGAATCCTTTACCTTGAAGTTAATAGAACCTAAGAAGGCATTTGGTAAGTTGGGTGTGGGTGTGTATGTGTATGAAGTGTTCCCTTCCCTGGCTTGTCTTTATAAGGATAGTGCATACTGAGCTGTGATGCCATGTGATACAATATATCTATTAAGACTATAGAGAATGACAGCACTGACAAGGGAAAACAACTATTCGAGGAGAAAAAAGTTGTTGAAAAGGACAATTTCTGAAAGACCTTTGGAGTCACAAAGTCTAGTGTCCAGTGACTTTGTGGCAGTTCCAAACTCCAAGGAGAGCACATTGTATTACATTTATTTGCTCAGCAATAAAATTCTTGATTGAGCTCTCTAAGCCATAATAACTGTTGTTCATGGACCTCAACAGCAAAAACTTCAGTTACACACAGAATTGGTATTTAAAATAGTTATCTAGTCTATTTTAAAGACTTCAATACTTTTCCTCCATTGGCATTTTGAATTTGGCTGCATGGTATGGTATGAGATTACTTCTACTTTGGTGTGACATCTGTACTTGCTTGGTTTTAGCCATGGCAGCTGTGTCCCAACTGTTCAAACCCCCAGGGCCATCTCCTCTACAGGAGAATGTGCCAGCTTCTCTCTACCCAGCACTATTTTAATAAGCCAAATGACCGCCTAGTGTTCATCAGTGTTGAAATATCTTCAGCAGAATCATTCTAGACTGCGCTTACTCATCCATGACCCCACCCAAATTATGTTCGTTCTTTTGCTCACAGTGCATAAATATTCCTTATAGTTTGTCTTTAAATGGGTGTTTTCTCAGGGCAGTTAATAAAAATGTTGGGAGAATGCAGTGGATCTTGGGAATTATATTTTCTCTCCCTTAGCAAGTAAGCGACAGGTACTAGCCATATGGAAATGGAAATTCTTCTCTACTTCCAAGTGATTCTGTGCCATTTAATAGAAATACAGTGTAGATTATATGACTTGGGGGAGAAAGAGTTCCATAGAAGGTTTAAGAAAAGAATGCCTTGCACTGAGCTATGTATAAAAATGTTGAATCACTATATTGCACACCTGAAGCTAATGTGACACTGTATGTTGACTCTACTGGAATTAAAATAAAAAACCCCGGGGTGCCTGGGTGGCTCAGTCATTAAGCGTCTGCCTTTGGCTCAGGTCATGATCCCAGGGTATTGGGATCGAGCCCCACATTGGGTTCCCTGTTCAGCAGGAAGCATGCTTCTCCCTCTCCTACTCCCCCTGCTTGTGTTCCCTCTCTCCCTGTGTCTCTCTCTGTCAAATAAATCTTAAACAAAACAAAACAAAACAAAACACCCAAAAGAAAACACTGGGTGGCAGGGGGAGGGGTGAGGAAGAATGCCTTATGCCAGTGCTGCTCCTGGAGGGACCATTCATTCTAGGAAACAATACTGTAGATACTGTGATTCTGCATGGAGTACAACCCAGCTTCTGAGCTTGCTTGTCACAGAAGAAGGTGGGCAGCACTCAGGTTTCTCTCTAGTGCTCGTTTTGAAGTGGCTTTGTTTGCTGACCAACTCCTTGGGTGTTATAACATATAAACCGATAGGATATAAACAGTTTGAGATGTTCTTTTTTTTTTTTTTTTTTTAAAGATTTTATTTATTTGACAGAGAGAGAGACAGCGAGAGAGGGAACACAAGCAGGGGGAGTGGGAGAGGGAGAAGCAGGCTTCCCGCGGAGCAGGGAGCCTGATGCGGGGCTCGATCCCAGGACCCTGGGATCATGACCTGAGCCGAAGGCAGACGCTTAACGACTGAGCCACCCAGGCGCCCCCAGTTTGAGATATTCTTATTTGACTTAGACTCTTTATAAATCAGTCATTCTCTTGGTACAACTCAAGGAGTATAAATTTTTTTCACCTTTATTTCTACCATGTAGTTTATTTTTCAGAGTTAATCTTTTTCTATTTTTACCTACTGTCTGCATCTAAATCTTGTGGTCCCTGTATCTTTATAGAAAGTTACTGATACGCTTTAACTTGGATGCTAGGTTGGTGTTAGTTTTGGATGTTACAGAGATCATTGTATGTAGCTATTGTTGCTCCATGATTAGGTTTTCTCCTTCAGTGCCTGAGACACACGTGTAGGTGGTTGGTGTGCTGCACTGCCTTATGTGCCTGGCTACTATTTTTTTAATTTTAATTTTTTTATTAACATATAATGTATTATTTGTTTCAGGGGTACAGGTCTGTGATTCATCAGTCTTATACAATTCACAGCGCTCACCATAGTACATACCCTCCCCAGTGTACATCACCCCCCTGGCTCCTATTGAACCTGCTCTCTGTTGCCTCATAGGAATTCCATGTACACATTTGAGAAGGACAGTGGGTAGGATTTTCCTAGTGGGGGTGTATTGCATCCCAAATTCTGGTGGTGCTGTGGGTTAGGATATGTGGAAATCGATTTTGGAGCAATGATAGGTTTTTATCTTCCAAAATTCCTATGACAGCTTAACTCAGCCCCACTTAAATCTGCTGGACTATGTGCGTTTTCCACTCCGGGTTGGTACTTGACTTTGGGCCATAGCTTGGAGATTCTCTCTTAGAAGTAGGCCTTGCTGCTCTCTGCCCATCCTTCAGCCCTCAATTTTGCTGCTTTTTGCCTTGACATAAAGGCGATGCTAGTTTGTTTCCCATCCTTTGACTTCATCCCAGTGCTTGGCACTTTTCTTGGAAGGGGAGTATCCATTAGGAGATACTTGAGGAATCTAACTTCCCCCAGTTCTCTTGGTTCTAATCTTATTTTTTTTCTGCTTCCTTCCTTCCTGTGTCTTCTAGCATTATCATTAATGAATTGATTCAAATTCCTAGTCCTTCATGATTATCTGACTCTGTTGTGTTGGATTCCTACAGGAGAAAAGGGCCAATGTAGATGAGGCAAAATGTTCTGGTCTCTGCGATCAGCTAGGCCACCTAGGCTGAAGTGAAGTCATTTCTAGGATTTTTACCAAAAGCTGTTGAAATAGCCATACACTCTAGTATTTTGACATTTCCTTACCAACTTCCCTAAAGATTTAGCCTGGGGAGTTATGTGGACTGTGTCCTAAAATGCACGAAGGAGTGTAGTTGGTTGCTTTGCAGTTCTATAACAAGGATGATGAACACAACTCTCAGCCATGGATAGGGGAATCATTTACAGCCTGCTCCTATTTTCATATTTTAGGTCCACCACCAGTCACATCCCATTTTCAGGGGCCATCATATATGCCAAGATTCTTTTTCAGAGCTATAGAATAAATACTTTCTAGTTTAATGAAAAGGCATTTTTTGGTAGACTTATCAAGTAGGTCTCAGAAACAAAGACTGTCAGTGATGCCTTGGGAAGGTCAGGAACGAAGGCCATTTCAGGAATGTATGAACCAGGCACCTTTCCTGGCCCTGGTCTGATTAACTCCCTCCAGTTATTTCCTATCTTCATGTTACTTCACTCAGGATTCAAATTCCTGGGAGAGCAGGGGAAACTGATAAGGTCATGTCCCATCTTGATAGTGGGGAGGCAGGCATGGTTAATAGGCTCACCAAAATCATGCAGAACAGTGAGGGAGAAATTTCCTTTTGGGTAGGAAAAAAGTAGCAGATGTCCATTTTGCCATTTCTCTTAAGCTTTTATGCCTTGTTTAGTGGAGTGTGTTGGTTTTCTCTTGACTTTGTTTTTTTGTTTTTTTTTTTGTTAAAGATTTTATTTATTTATTTGACAGAGAGATACACAGCGAGAGAGGGAACACAAGCAGGGGGAGTGGGAGAGGGAGAAGCAGGCTTCCCACTGAACAGGGAGCCTGATGCGGGGCTTGATCCCAGGGCCCTGGGACCATGACCTGAGCCGAAGGCAGACGCCCAATGACTGAGCCACCCAGGTGCCCCTGTTTTCTGTTGACTTTGAATCTGACTTGAATGCATGATACTGTCAGTCTGGGTATATCAGAATGGATCTGGAGGGAGGCAGGGTATTGTCAGTTGGCTTTGGGTGTCTGGTCTTCCGGATTTTTTTTTTTTTTTTTTTTTCTGTTTGGTGTTGGGTGCTATGTAAATGGCAGTTTGGCAATGGACTCTCTAGAGATCGTGATGGCATCAGGCTTTTTAAGACTTTAAGTAATTTCTACACCCAACATGGGACTTGAACTTACAACTCTGAGATCAAGAGTCACATGTTCTACTGACTAAACCAGCCAGGCTGCATCAAGCTTTCTTTAAGGGAAAGAGTAAAAGCCACATTCTTCTTGGTGCTGGTCACCAGATTTGGAAAGGGCAATAATCCAGATTTGGACTATACTTCTGGGAAGGTCCTTCATTTCTGTCTGCCACAAATAATTTATTGAGAATTTTCTGTGTTCCAGGTACTCCATTAGGCACAGTGGATACTAAGAAAGACTAAGCCATAGCTCCTGCCTTTTGAAGAGCTCACAGTTTAGCAGAAGGCTGTTACTGATTGAATTGTGCCCCCCTAAAATTCTTGTGTTGAAGCCCTAATCTTCACCACCTCAGAATGTGACTGTATTTGGAGATAAGGTCTTTAAGGAGGCAAATAAGTTAAAATGAGATCATTAGGGTGGGCCCTGATCCAATGTGACTGATCTAAGAGGAGAAAATTTGGACACACACATAGCAGGAGAATGCCATGTGACCATGAAGACCTGTACAGACCAAGAAGAGAGGTCTTAGAAGAAAGCAACCCTGGGGGTGACTTGATATCCAACTTCTTGGGAACAGAGGAAATAGATTTCTTTTGTTTAAGCCAGGTGGTCTTTTGTGGCAGCCCTAGGAAACTAACACAGAGGCCAGTAGGCTTAAAGGAAAATTACAGTGCAAATTCTTTGACTGTGGCAGTATGAGCTCCCTAATAATCTAGAAGGTATAGGTGGAGTATCTTAGCTGTCCTTTGGCTTTGGGTAGATGGCAGGAACATACTGATGTTTTCATTGAATAGATATTTGAGCAGTTAGTATATGCTGGTATTAGAGTGTTAGTGGCTGGGATAATAATAGTTTCTTGAGCATCCACTGTATTCCATCACCATTC